CTGTAGCCAGTGTTCGGCCAAGGGGGAACTGTCGGACGTCGGTCCTGCAATGCCTTAGATCTGCGGCGTGCTCCTTGAGCCGTACGTTCTTGGGGCGCCCTGTTTCACCAACGTACGTTGCACCACACTCGCACGAGGTCTTGTACACCACCCCTTTCCTTAGCTCTTTGGGGACAGCATCCACCATGCCTCTCACCACGCGGACTCCATCAAAACGGGCGTCATCCGGTGCCTAACCCGGCGTGCTGAGGCAGTGTGCAGCGACGAGGAGGCGAAGCTGGCAGAAGTCGCTCATCTGTAGCAGGTGTTTGCAAGCAACGGCTACCCAGCGAGGTATATCAGACGTGCCATGAATCCTCCCGCCGATCCGAGACCGCGCAACGAACCGTCCAGCGATCAGCCCGACGAACAAGACCCTCCAGACGACCACAGGTCGAACTCGCAGGCGAATACTGATCAGTCCCAGCCGACCACCGAACGACAGCGACCCATGTATATCAGTGTTCCATACGTCAAGGGTACCAGCGAGAGAATAGGCCGGATTTTAGCGCCGCATAACATCCGGATAGGACATAGCTCGAGGCCGACCCTGCGGGAGAGGTTGGTGAAGGCGAAGGTGTTGAAGAAATTCGTTCCCTTCATTTGAAAATGGGCCTTGTACAAGGCCCTATCTTCAACATGGAGCGACCGTTAGTGTGACGTCACCTCGTTTAGTCATTCTGATTTAAATGGGTTTGTTCGTTGAAAAATCGCTTAAAACTTGGTCTGAACTTTGTTGTGGTGCCTACAGAGTAAAAAGAATCAGCTTTATGACAGTAATGTGGCCTGGGGAAGGAGGTAATTTTGGGCTGTGACGTCACATATTTGAAAGTTTGTGTTTGGAATATGGGAAGCCTAAGATGTTTAATGAAAAATAAATGCCAGAACCGTGTTCCTGGTCATCCAATCTATAAAGTCGGGCACAATTTAACTGGTTTTAACAACATTTTAGAAGGTGGGATAGTCCCTTTAACGGAAATTTCTGAGTATGAGCGGCCGGCCGACCGGCCGGCCGTGCGGACGCTTTTGCGAGGCTTATATCTCAGCAACCACTTGACCGATTTACACGCGGTAATTTTTGTAGGGTAGCTTGATTCCTTCTACCAAGTATTGGACTATTCCCGATGCATTTGGGTGACCCCTTATGCACGTGCCACGTGCAAAACGAAGAGGTGTCAGTTTTGTAATTGTTGCAATATCTCGGTAACTACTTGGCCGATTGCGCTGAAACTTGGCATGAAGGTAGGCACCCACTAGGCACTGCATATCCATGTGCCAGAGTTGGGGTGCTGCTGCACGTGCGCACGTGCAGGGGTCGTTTCCAGATCTCGAGAACGGCTCGACCGATTGCGCTCAAATTTGGTATACAGTTAGGGACCGGTTAGTAGGGTGCCGTGCACAAGTCAGTTGGGACCCATCTTGCACGTGCGCACGTGCAGGGTGCCGCTTCCAGATCTCGAGAACGGCTTGGCCGATTGTGCCCAAATTTGGCACATCGCTAGAGACCGGTTAGTAGGGTGCCGTGCACAAGTTAGTTGGAGGTACCCCCTCGAAATTTCGCACGTGCAAGGCCCGCCCTCTCGCTCGCTCCGTTAGTCGCCCCAAAAGGCGTTATACTGGTCATAAATGAGTAAGTCAGAAAACACCGCAGTTTTCCTCTTAACGTTGGACCATAACGTAACGCCAGCGTCATTTTAGGTCAAATTATGACATCTCAGACTTCCTTTTGCCAGTACTCGTCAAATGAATGCAAGAGGCTACTTAATTGTCTATCACTTTTGAAGGTGTAATAATAAAACGGGAATATCAAAATAGCCACTGGTTAGAGTCATCTACAGCACAGCCCTAGAAATATGGCGAACGGCCGCTTTGCCTCTAAAAAGTTGTTTTTGACTGCGTCCTTTAGAAAATGTCAATAGTTTAGGCCAGTTCCATATCTGTAAACAAAAATGTAGTAAACAGCGTGAATTTCCGGTTCATTTAACGCTTATGTTAGATTTCAATGTAGTGGGGTCACGAAGGTACGAATTGTTTTCAATGTCCATTGTGCTTAGGAAACTAACATGGCCAGCTAGTTCTTACACGAACAGCGAATTCACGATGTGATAATCCATGACGCATAGGCCGTAATTGTTTTCCGCTTGTTTACGTTCACAACACAACACGGTTAACGATCAACGTAACATGACACAGCATGTCTAGAAACCATCCATGATAAGAGGGTGTATAGAGCTGGTAGATAATACACTCTGGATTCTGGGTGGAATGACCCAAATATTTCGTAACTAGGCTGTTGCAACTTTGAACACCGCAATTGCACTTTGTACCAGGAGATGACACGACACCTACAAAAAAGATGCGTAATACGCGAAAAGGCTGATCCATTATAAAAAGACTATTGCGAAAGAGAATGAGGACGGGAAGGTTTGGAACTTCAATGGGGCTGGGGTAAACACTAGCACGTTAAACGACATCCCCACCTATTCTTATTTCAGTCTTCAGGGCGCCGTTGAAAGAGCACTAACAGAACAGTCCCAGGAAAGCTGGCGTCCTGGATGAACGGCAACAGCGACACCAAAAGCTAGTCTGAGCGACTGTGCCTCGCCCGATTGTAAGCCAACGTTTAGACGGTTTTGGAAAACTAGAGTCCAGATATGTTGGCGGTTCGTTCATTGACCTTCATTGACGCCATGCTTTTTTACAACAGCTTTATTAAACAGCTTAACTTCAACTAGATATTTGAACTTGTTGCCAATCGCATATTGATATAGCATATAAGTACCAGTAGGGGCATTCCACGATAGATCGACCAAAAATAAATAAAATTTACACCCTCATATTTTATTTTTTGCTTAAAATTGGTCTAATGGGTTGTGATGGGCGGGGAACCCAGCTGTGGCAAGGATTTTTTTCTTCGAACAACGGTTTCCGAGATATAGCCTCGGGCAGTTCCTGGAGGTCACACTGCAACCCTATGTTTGGCGGCTTATAACTCAGAAACTATTGGTTTTCTATGGTAAAAACTTTATATGGTTCAACTCGCAATCAACCAACAAACGTTTTGGCTATCTCGGATTTTCGATTTTTGAAAATTTTGATCACGTGACATCTTGACCTTTTTTTCGAAGAGTGACCTTGATATTTTCCCAACTGAAAGTCGCAATTATGTCTGATGACGATTAAAGCCTTATCAATTGTCATTCATATGCGCAAATAAAAAAGTGGCTTTCGGCCTGCGTTGACCTCAGGTCAGGTCATTTTTATGACCTTCCCATTATTACGAGCGGGAGCGACAGCGAGATCTCGAGAACAAAGCAAGATAGCGACAAGTGGTAAACGGCACAAAGTACACATGGATAAGGTCTACAATTTTTACTCAGGTTATTTTCAGGTCAGGTCAAAGATGACGTCACAGGGGTAAAAAGAAAGTCTAAATGGCGGCACTACATATATATGAAGTTTTTCTCGAATAACTTTCAAAGTATCCCAGCTAGGAACAAACTAATAGCACCATCGTGATCCTCTCGTCGATCCGCATCGAAACATCTGTATGTTGACCTCAAAAGGTCAAGGTCAAAAGTTGACCTTAGGTCACGTGACCTTAAGGTCATCATATATATCATTCGATGGGCCTTGACGAGCTGAACACAATGAGCCTATCCGCGCGGCTGTATCTCAAACCTGTAAGGAATTATATGCAAAAAACATTTGGTGACCTTTCATGACGTCACATGACCCAAGAGCAACGTCACAGTTGACCAAGAGCAAAAAAGGTCTCAAGGTAGTCAAAGTTAGTCGTATATGAAGTCACTCATGGTATATTAGGCAATTCCGACGCGTTTTAGTGTAAAAATAAGGGAGCTGATTTTTCCCCAATTGACTTATAATGGGGTGGTCAAGAAATTGACCTGATCTTAGGTCATCGGTATTGAAATTCAAAACGAACTGGCGCTAGGCGAAAGAACACAATGGTGCCTGTTCCACGTCTCTTTCTTTATTAGATCAAAAGGTACAGCCAAAACTATTTTGACTTCCTTTTTACCCCTGTGACGTCATCTTTGACCTGACCTGAAAATGACCTCCGTAAAAATTGTAGATCTTATCCGTGTGAATCCTGTACCGTTTACCGCTTGTCGCTATCTTGCTATATTCTCGAGATCTCGCGTCGCTCCCGCTCGTAATAATGGACAGGTCATAAAAATGACCTGACCTGAGGTCAACGCAGGGCGATAGCCACTTTTTTTATTTGCGCATATGAATGACAATTGATAAGGCTTTAATCATCATCAGACATAATTGCGACTTTCAGTTGGGAAAATATCAAGGTCACTCTTCGAATAAAAGGTCAAGATGTCACGTGATCAAAATTTTCAAAAATCGAAAATCCGAGATAGCCAAAACGTTTGTTGGTTGATTGCGAGTTGAACCATATAAAGTTTTTACCATAGAAAGCCAATAGTTTCTGAGTTATAAGCCGCCAAACATAGGGTTGCAGCGTGACCTCCAGGAATTGCCTGAGGCTATATCTCGGAAACCGTTGTTCGAAGAAAAAAATCCTTGGCACAGCTGGCTTCCCCGCCCATCACAACCCATTAGACCAATTTTAAGCAAAAAATAAAATATGAGGGTGTACGGCTTTGGTCGATCTATCGTGGAATGCCCCAGTAGTGATCTATGAGCCAAGCGAAGGAAGTGTCGGTGAAGCCTGGTGTTAGTGCGGCGGCTCGAGTCTGTGTAATTATTCGGCACCCCCTAAGCAGGTCTCAGGAGTCGAGGTGTTCGCCACACGACGGAAAGCCCTGTTGGTCGCACCCTCCCGGTTCGTTACCGGCTCGTCTTCCAAAGTAATCCCACGTCATGACGCTACAGCGATCACCAGATCAGGGCTGCCGCATAGCGTGCAAAGCAATTCGTGGAAGCACACAACGGGTTTTGAGGCGACAGAGCCTCCCATACGGCAAGCTGGCTATATAAAGGGAGTCGAAGTTGAGAAACGGGCACTTCCCCACTGAACTAAGCGGATCACCGTTGCTGCTCGCTTTGTAGGTAAGTTGGTCGAGGGAGAGTATCGTTTTTAGGCGGGGCTCACTGCGCCAGATATGTTGAACGGGCGTGCACGTAGTTGTGGATCAGTCAACAGCTATCCACCATTTGCAATGCGCAATGCGCATGTACATACTTTTGTCTGCAGCTCTCCTGTGGATATGTTGGGGTATGCTGCTGATGTGAAGTATTGCGAGTGACTATAAAATGCCGCAATAGCGTGAGAATGCTAGATAACTCGTGGGCGTCATTCGTATGGAGCAATTCAGCAAAATAATTTCGTTTGTTCCCTTAGTAGGAACGCTGGATAGCGAGTGTTAGGAAGCTGCCGAATAGAAATACCATTGATACTGTAACAACTCATTGAAATAATGACCCGCGTTAGCCTATGATGCAGCAACAGTTAAATGATGGCTAGCGAAACCCTATATTAGGCGTTCTCACAATGCCTTAAGTGGAATATGGAACGCAATAAACAAGGCATACAATCTACATTTGTGCATGCTGCTACATTTCGATCTTCCGTTCCTTATGATGTAGGTATGTTGCATACCAAATGTAGTGTGACGATGATAACTCAAGTTTATTGTGAAAAAAACCTTTATGTCCTTTACAACAAACTCGAGTTATTATCGTCATTGTACATCTCTGATTCGTTACAAATGTAGTGTTTGATATCTACCTTTTTAAGCTAACAACTACACCCAACATAGCTTCCATTCTGATATAGCTGAGGTCACACCGTAGCCCTGTGACAACCAAAAGAATGTCTCACCTTCTGTCTTCGTTTCCACTTTCTAGACTTCAACCATGAAGCTCGCTGTCGTTCTCGCCTGCCTGCTGGTGGCCGTCGCTGCCAAGCCCCAGCTTGGATTCCCATTTGGCGGTGGCACCGGCGATGCCTTCGCGGGGTCCACCCAGGGACAGAACAGTGGTCCGTTCGGTACTAGCCAGATCCAACAGAGCAGCGCTGGTGCCCGAGTAAGTACCAGTACTTAACCCTCGCCCGCACATGGGGGGGGGGTGGTTGCCACCCCCCCAGGCAGTCTTTCTGCTCTGCACTCAACATTTTTAGAGCTAGAAGGCTGATTTTTCGTATAGCTGCTCGTCTATCCTTTCTTGATGTCAACTGAAAATTTCAAGTTTCTGTGATTTTTGGTTTCGGAGATATGACCTTGTTTTTCAGGTCATGTCATGACCCAAATGGCCAATTCTCAACATCTTGCGTTTGCCATGGGCCTTGTGAGCTTTTGACACCCTGATTTCGGCCTTTTTTGCCAGTCTTACCTCCCACCTATCATGGAACATATTGTTCGACGATGTACAGGGGTCAAGGTCAGGGTCAAGGTCAACCTAGGTCATCTAAGATAATTGCGTTTTAGGCAAGCTGAATTTACTTTTCGTGAAGTTTTTTGACTGCATTTTTGGTAAAAGCTTCTCAGATCATGATTTTATGTGATATGGACCCAAAAACAATCGGTGCACACATCAGTATACACACAGACACACACAGACATACAAACACATATAATTGACCTTGACCTAACTTGACCTGAAATGACCTCAGCAGCAAAATTCTGGTCGGATAGTGTGACAAAGAGGTTCTAGCTGGCTTAGCACCAGAAAACAGCATCGTCATCGGTATTTGATAAGCAGCGCACTTGATATCCAACGGTGACCCAAAACAGCAACATTTTTTAGTTTGACCTGACCTGGAAGGTCAATGACTGACCTGAGAAGGTAAAACTGGGTATCATTGGATTTGTCTCTTCCCAAAGAATCTTTTTGGTCTTTACTGCTAAGCTCTATCTCCAACAGGAACGAAATGGCGCGGGGGGGTGGCAACCACCCCCCCCCCATGTGCGTTCTAGGATGGGAAAATGGCATGTGCGGGCGAGGGTTAAAGGACTTGAGGGTGACAAGACCTCGACGATAGTATATTGAATATTCAGAGGACACATAGTGATGAAACAACATAGAATATAGAACACATATAACACATAGAACATAGAACATAGAAGAGGACTGTTTAGAACGCCGGAATAGACTGGCATACTGTCTGTTCTATGCCACTGTCTGTTCTTCTATTCTAGTCATTGCATGTTTGTGACTTGAAAAGGTACCGGTTTGCATGTTCAAAAATAATTTAGCAAACCTGATGCCGTTATAATCGGCTACAGCCAATATTATTGCGCTTTTGTAATGCAAGGGCTGGGGAATTCGCAGTTTTATACAAACATGTATATGTTACAGGCAAAGTGAAAACTCGGGCATTTTGCAAAATGCCTAGGCAATTTGCAAAATGCCTGACTGGCTAGGCATTTTGCAAAATGCCCAGGCAATTTGCAAAATGCCTGACCGGCCAGGCATTTTGCAAAATGCCTAGGCAGTTTGCAAAATGCCTGACATCGAACTCACACCAGCGACGATGCGTAAGCATCATTGTAAGTGCCGCCAACAGGGGTTAATCACAAGCGATACGCACCAAGTGGGAGGACACACAGTGAGACATTCTCCGGGTAGCGCTGCCGAGTTCAATGTCACTGGGCCCCAGGCAGCGCGAGCGGCCCGGCCGCCGCGTCGGCTACCGGGCGCCCGGCGCGGTTTTATCGGTAAACACGCGTTAAACACGGTTATGCTTCTAAGAGCCTTGATGACTCTGGAAATACTTTGTGTGGATATTGATCAGAAAAGAATGTTCTTTCGATGTATGGTAGCTTGGTTGGCGAGCCACACGTCTACATTATCAATGCATTGTGACTGTGTAAAGATGAACATGCCCGTTGCATGTAAAACTTGTAATTTCTAAGCGTCTTTTTATTACAAAGGTGTGCACGTGGGTCGTGGATGACCAAAAACTTGCTTTTCTGGAAAAGCGGAAAAGCCACATGTTCTTGTTGTCTATGGAATGTATCTCATCTCATTCCAATGCATTGCCATTGTTTTTTAAATGCTGTTTTTCCTGAAATGTACCAAAAATGGCTGATTTCTCAAGGTATAGACCATTTCTTTCCACGTGACACGTGATTAACAAAAATGTTTATTGGATACGTTTGTCTCTGTTCTATCGATCGCTGGCAACCCCGTGTCGCTGCGGCACTCTCTTGCCGTGATGTAAATAAGCACGGGAAACGAAGAATGTCGGGTCAATATTCGGCCGGTCGCCGCGTTTTTCCGCGCCCATGTTTCTCTGTGCCATGCTCCGCGCCCCATCGCAGCATTCCTACACACGAACGGCTACAACTCCGTATACGAAAATTATAGGGAGACGTTGGCTCAATCTACACCATTCAGTAGTGGTTCCATCTCGACGGAAGTGGCGCAAGACGTGGGTAGATTCGTAAATATTGAATGTGTTTGGGGCTCAGGCACATGGGAGCGACATGGTCAACGCCTGTGGTAAATAAAAACGGTAAAATAAATCAATCACAACTCAGGCATTTTGCAAAATGCCTGACCCGCCAGGCATTTTGTAAACTGCCTAGGCAGTTCGCAAAATGCCTGGTGGGTCAGGCAGTTTGCAAACTGCCTAGGCATTTCGCAAAATGCCTGGCGGTCAGGCATTTTGCAAATTGCCTGGGCATTTTGCAAAATACCTAGCCGGTCAGGCATTTTGCAAATTGCCTAGGCATTTTGCAAAATGCCCGAGTTTTCACTTTGCCTGTAACATATATAACTACTATTCTTTGTTGCGTAAAACTATTGTATATTGTATAGTGAATGTTGGGCAACATGTGATAGTCCTGTGTGTAATGTGTGTGAGCATATGACATATGAACAGCCACACTGAAAAGTATAACACTTCCCTTCCCGCATCACACATGCGCCACAAGTCCACCAAAACTCGCATTTCCAGCATGTTCACATACTCGTCTAACGAATCCACCACGCTCTCTCGCAGGGCTCTGCCTCTGGATTCGGCTCGTCCAACAATCGAGCCCAGAGCACAGTCGGCCAGAGCACAGGGATCTTCGGGAACAGCCAGTTCGCCAACAACCAGGCGACCAGCAACCAGCGAGGCTAGCTCCCGCGCGAGGACAGACCCGATCGGACAACTGCAACTCCATGGCGCTAAGACAACTTAAACTAAGCGAAAGCAAGCTGTCATTTTCGTGTGAAAGTGCCAAAGTTACAGAGTTCGTTAGCTGAACGCTAGCGGCGCGAAGACAACCGTCACGAGAAGGCACGGGGCTTACAGAGTTCTTACACAAGATGCTGGAAGTTCGGGGCGAAAACGGCATCTGCAAGAAGTCGTACTGACATGGCCGCATGTGCAAAGGCAGTAATCCACCTATTTCTGGTAATGCGTGAATGCGGATATGCCAAAAATTATGCTGCTATTGAACAATAAACATGATCAAAATATGTGAAGTTTTTGATTCTAGAGTCTTGAAATCAGTGACTAAGTACGCTTATATAGACAATAAATTTAATAACACTTGTTTCACATGTTACACCAACCGAATACGCTTTGTATGCCGAGCATTCAATAAGCCAAACCAGCACCAACAAGGTTGTTGAGGACGTCGCCGCTTTGTCGTTCCAAGTTGCAGCATCCTTTGCTTTCAAAGCTATGTCACTGCACGTGCAATTTTGAAAAGTCACCGACCAGTAGCGGCGGAACACCTTCAATTAAAGGGGGGCACTGCCAACTTCTGGTCCCATTCTTTCCATACAACGCTCATAGGGCTAATGTTAAAATATCAAAATCAAAGGGGGCACGGTGCCCCGGTGGCGAATTTCCTAAGTGTGGAACTATTCATACCGTCGCCCGTTCGAGTGACGTCATCACTCGGCGCTGGCGGCTAGGTGCATGGATTGACAGGTCCTTAAGTTGGCGAAGAGGCGGAGCCAGTTATCCTGCGTAAATATTTAGTCAGTCTTAATTTTAGCGAGTTCCCTAGTTAGAGAAAAAGTAACTTGTTCTACGTGAATATATAACCGGTGTTATTTCAGTTATCGTTCGTGCATTCGCCCACCTTGGAGCATATCTCCTACGAGGTGCTTGAGTTTTGACGGTGGGGTTTGTGCACTGCGTTTCGCTTCAGCATTGAGCAAATGTCTTCAGTAGGTATTACGGCTGGTGATACTGCCTATCGGCGTTGAATGATGTTTGACACCAATAGGACATAAATTAGCAGGTAGTGCGAATTTATTGTTAGCAGATTTATTAGCGAGATTATTAGCAGATTTATTAGCGGATTTATCATTTATCTTATTAGCAGGTAGTGCGGATCTATAGTGCGGATATTGAGTGACGCCATCTGGACCGATGCTGGAGATGATAGCGCCACCTGCCGCCACTTAACTGCGCGCCACTTGTAACAGTGCCTGGCTGGTGCTGTGTGTTGATTGTTTGAAGCGACTAGTACCTTATGACGCATAATATAAGGTCACTTTGCAAAATTAGAGGAGCATGGACGAATCAATTTGTGAGACATTGACGCTTTAGTAATACATGATTGTTCCCAACACAAGATATGTATTAGATTTTAATGTAATTCCTCAACTTCCCATAATAACACCAGGGGCGCTAGTGCCGCGCGCTGCTAGCCTATAATCGTGCAGCGATTGGTCAGCCGACTGTGAGCCATGACGTCACAGCCTGTAACGTCATCTCGGCGAAGCTTGCGCCAATCACAGACCTTAGGTATGGGCAGTTCGACACTTAGGAAACTCGCGCCCCGGTGCCCTCCCCGTTCCGCCGCCTATGTCACCGACATTCTCAAAGAGCCCACGATTACTTTACTTTATTTGCAACGCTGGCATTGCTGAAAATGTGAGTGAGGCTTTATGATGTCTTTTCACGCTTATTACATTGTGCTGTAACTATATCATTTCTGCCTTGAAGCAATGTCATGCGTGTATGTAGGTTATCGAAACACTTTTTATTTAACCCTCGCATGTGTAAGGGGGTCGGATTGACCCCTTCATGGTTTTTCGCGAATAACTCGCGCAAAAAGCGGCCGATCGCAACGAAACTTTCATGGTACTCTCAAGTTAACCCACGCCCCGCTGGGCTATTCACTTATTCAGCCATACGCGCCCTGCTGGGGGGGGGGCAGATTCTGCCCCCCCCCCCTGTCTTACTTCCGAACCGATGGTCGTAGAAAGACGGGGAAAACGGCAATCGAAAGCTCTCAACAAGGTGGATCTTAAGAGCCCATTTTTTTTTAACCCGCGCCCCAGTGGCGGTCTCAGCCAACTTCGCCCTAGTGGGGGGGGGGGGGATATGTTACCACCCACCTCTAACTCAAAAACTAAGAGGGCTAGAAAGACGCGGTAAAAAGCAGTTGATAGCTCTCAATGCGTACGTTTGAAATATTCCAGTTATTTTTCATCTTAGAGCAGTACTGGGGTCACAAGAGGTCATCAAAGGTCAAAATTTGCGAATTGTCATTATATTTTTTCAGAAAACATGCCATTATTTCAGAACTATAATAGCTAGGAAACCGCATTAAAA